AAAACAAAATCACCACCCAGGAGGAAGTCTGTCTGAAAAAATACTTTGTATTGTGTTAATTTCCACCCTTGGTGAAATATGGAGAAAATCTTTAGAAATAATTGTCTACAACAGCTTTATAACTCAAAATAATTGTCTCTCCAATTTAGAAACAAAATGGCAAAAAGAAAAATTCTGATCTTTTATATATGGGCCTGCATTTTCAAACTCCACTTTTTCAAAAGACTTTTCAAAAATCTTTACATATACCAAATGGGTAAATCCTTGCAGGTAAGCCAAACCAAGCTTTCTTAAGGGATACTTGTGAGGAATGTTCACTACCTCTGAACAAAAGTTTTGAAAATGTGTCTCTCATGATTTCTAGCCCCATCCCCAATTGTAGAATGAAGACAGGATGTAGCAGGGTTTTTCAGTGTCAGTTGATGTAACAGTGTTGGTGGGACAACATTACTGAACACCCTTTGGGCAGCAAGGGTTTTGAACGGGGAACTCAGAGGGTAGAGACATGGGTGTGTATTTTGCAAAAAGTCATAGTTCCTTACAGACAAGGATGCATGTTCTTCTAATGGGCAATGCCACAGTGATGGCTTACCACACTAGGTTTACCCAGACAGCAGGACATCCCATATCCCACAAAGTATAATGGTCTGCAAGGCAGAGAGGTACATTAGCTTAACTACATAGAGTAATACCATCCCGATGATGTGTTTTTCATTTTGCTTTGACTTCAACTTCAAGAACCGCTACCACAGGATTCCAATCTTTGTGATGATGCTTTCACAATGACTAAAATAAATATCACAGGAACACTGATGACTTTTTCCTTCTTGATCTGGATCCCATATAGCACCATCTGTTGCTATCATTGCGAGCACTGACTTATAATATTGGTCAACTACTGTAAGAAGTGTGGTTTCAACACAAACTGTATTAAGACTCTCTGTTGCACAAACCTTCTTTGCTATCCAGTTATGTGCCACAATTTTGGAACATTGAGTGAATGTCCTGCTGCTCTCCTGACTGGTGTTGCCTAGTTGGATGTTGAAGTGATTCTGCAATTGGCAACATACAGGGAATAAAACATATGTCACCAGCACACCAAAAGCCTTCATCAACAAAATGTCTTTATTGACGTCTCAGCATCATGTCAAACAAAATAATGTGCATTCTTTTGTTTGACATGGTGCTGAAATGTCAATTGAGGCGTTTTCTGGATGAAGACTTTTGGTGTGCTGGCGACATATTCTTTATCCCCACAATTTTGTAATATGGCACCCTTTGGTAACATGGCATTATTCTGTATATGCATCATGGTATTTGTGATAACATTTGTTTTTGTAATATGCACAAATCCTTAGCATGTGATTGAACATAAAACAGTTCAAGTATAGGTATGGTGTGTGTGTGTGTGTGTGTGTGTGTGTGTGTGTGTGTGTGTGTGTGTTGCTACTTGCCATTTAACCGAGTGCCCTGTGGTATCCTAGGCTTTTGGCACAATGTTTCATGTATATGATATGCTAGTGCAAACTGTTCATATACAAGTTAACACACATTTTATACAAGGTATTGCTTTCACCTAAATAATAAAACAAATAAATATTGAAAGACTACAGATAACCTTCACAAGTGAAAGTACTGGCATCCTGAGGAGTAGTAATCCTACATGCCACTCCTAATTTTACTTGTATATTCTTCCACAGATGTATAACTGTTAAGCCATACAGATCTCACAGACAGATAGATAGGATTGTTTCTCCAAAAATTACATCTGTGTTAGGTTATTTTACTAGCTTAAATTTAAATATGGATGAGGCATGACACCTGAGATAGCATCAAATTTTGAATGCTCCAACATTCATCTCTTGTCCCTTGACAACAAAAACAAGCAGAACTAGCTCTCTGCAGAACCTACAAATATAAATTAACCAATAAGCAATACATATTTGTATGTATTGAATTCCCATGTACAGGCTTTGATTTTAATCATACTGCAAAAATATGCAGACTGCTCCTTCGTGAAGTTAATGAAAAGATTAAGAACAGACTCACACCTTTGTTGGTTCAAGGATAGAGAGAACCACAAAGGAAACAAATACCCGGAGGGATTATAGTTTATCTGTTTGCAAGCCAGACCTTGTTATCTCATAAAACGCAGAGAAAAAAAAATAAGGGAAGGGGTATATATATGAGCATATTAAAGCTTAAAGTGGTGTACATTGTTTTAATATGTAAATAATAACTGGATGCACTGTTGGTTTATTACATGTATCCTTACTTGTAGCATCTTCCAGCTAGACACTTTATCTGCAAGAGGACAATCCACAAGCAACTCTGCAAGTCTGCCCTCAGAGACATATAATTGTCTGATGCAGAGGAAGAAAATGCCGTTGTCTGTACATTCCAGCTACTGTGAGGACTGCCATTAGTAGCTATCTAGAGGGGACGTGAATATAAAATAAACTATTAGCATGAACTAGACCGGCTTCAAGAAAAGAAAAAAAAAATCTGCAGGGAATTAGACAGCAAATGACAGATAAAAGAGAATGATGGATCTGACATTTGGTTTTTTGAAAAGCATGAAATTAATACAAGTTTTTACTATTTTCTTGGTTTACTATATGCCATAGAACATGGAGTCTGTGCACACTTTGAAGGATCTAATCCTCCAGAAGCAGTTAATTATGCTGAAGAGAACAAAGTGGAAAAAAACTGTTATAGCATGAAGGAAGTTCACTGGGACATTGTTCAGACATTGCTTGTTTTACAGTTTTTATATACAAGAAACCTAAATATATATTGAGTATTGTTCATCCTGATTTGTGTTAGCTGTAGATGTAACAAATACATTTGCAAAAAAACTGTAGAAACTATTGCCACAGAGAACCACAGGAGAACTAGAGGGATTGAAAATGTTGAACACTCACTTATTTTCTACAGACTGGCCTTAGATCAAAAACCTTCAGAGGATAAGAGATCACCTGACAAATACTGAACTAAGGATGTTGTGAAGATGGAAACTTCAGAGGATCCGATTGGGTAAGAATTATCTGATTATTGTCATGCATTGCCAAAAACAAACACATGGTAGGAGCACTTGGTTCTTTGTGTCAAATATAAATTAAAACCATGTTTTTTTTAACACAAGATCTTTAGGACTAATAGCTATTTAAATCCAGTTTTCTATTCTCTAGAAAATGTATTATTTCTAAATTTAAAAAAATATATTTTTAAAGCATATCTTGTTATGTCATACACCTAGACTTGTTTGACAACTATACTTATATTATAGATGTAAGTATATCTTTATTTAGCTTACATTTACCATGAAGCAATCCAATACAAATGCATACATATGACCCAGAACACTGAGCAGTCACCATCAGGCTGCCCCAGATGCCAAAGGTCGATCAGATAATGCCTGCACCTCCAACTGCCCTCTAGTGTCTATGGCCAGCTTCACAGTACAAGCAACAAATTCTCTCATAATAAAATGTATGTTTGTGCCTCAGGCCATCCTATGGTACAAAGAGGTTGGCTGTGTAATTTTACAGTACAAGATGTTTCATTCATAAATGTAGACAGTCTGACTGTTGTGAAAGCTTGCATCTGACAACAGCAAAATATCTAGATAATAAAATGTAGCTAAAAGCTTAATAAATATCGGATTACAAAGATAATTGCATAATCTTTGTTTCAAGCTAGTATAATTACTGTGTAAGTCTGCTCTGTAGCTAACAAGATACCCAGAGACGGGGATATGGCAGGCACCAACAGTAAATAGGAAACTTGCCTGGCCAATGTAAGTAGGGTTCTGGTAAGTTTTGGCTGGTTCTGGCAGGTTACATTTATCAAGAGTGAATCTAAATAGTAGTCAGTCAATCAAGGTGATCACTTCAAACAGGAAAGGTTTGTGACATTACACATATTTCCTTGTTTCTAATGAAAGTATACAGTGCTCATCTCTGGTACCACACTACAGCTAGAACTGAATCAAGAACTGTTCTCTGTGGTTCCTGATCATGATTAGCAACTTATATCACAAGGAATATCTTGTATTTTGTTACAGAAACAAGATGTACCACTACATCAAGCACTGTATCATATGATCTCTCCCTGGATTAGATCAGACTACCAAAAACATTGTATATATAGGGCATCTCACGGGCAGGGCCCTCTTGTCTTGAATTGTATTGTGATTGTAATGCCTTCCTTATATTGTAAAGCACTGCACAAACTGGGGGTGCTATATAAATTCTGTATAATAATAATAATAATCTATAAATATTACCCTCAGCCCTGACTACTATAAGAGTGGTCATGCATACATAGATATGCTACCCTGGACAATATGGCATCTTCCTGTCTTCCAATGATTTTCACATTGCTGGAACCAATCTAAATCCTCCCAGTTCCATAGTGCACACACTATGAAATAGTGAAAGTGTTACCCGGTCTCTTGCTTAAAAAGGTACATTTTCTAATAGAATTTGGAAAAACAAATAAGTGCCAGTACTGCACATCCCTTATTTAATGGTGGGGTGTCTCCTTATTGTGATGCATCAGACACCATTTATCATGTTAAATGGGCTCTGTCTTTAGTGCCGTATGAGTCTTTAACTAGAAACAGGTATGGAGATGCACTTTTCTGATGCAAATTTGCAGCATGCTTTGTATGGGTCTGTGACTACAAAGTATTGAAGTCTGACACAGTCAGGCAACTAGCATTCAAAAGCAAGACACTAATGACAATACCTCTACTTTTCTCCATGCAAGTGCATGCAAAATAAGTTGTAAATGCAAAAGTTGCAGGCATGCATCACATTACTGTATTTACAGTATAGCAAGAAAGTACTTAAAAATCCAGCATACTGCAGGTTAGGCAATACACTTGTCCCTCTTATAACACCACAGCTGTCAACAGACACTGCACTGTCTTAAACAACCCTCCAGAACATGCCTTAAAAGCTACACACCTTTAAACTGGGATAAAATAAGCTTACCACATGAGCTGGAACCTGCACCATTTTCGCAGCTGGGGTCCCTGGGCGCGGGTAAAACTGATTAATGAAGAGGCTAGGGAATCGGTATTCTTCAACTAGCTTTAACGTCTCCTTAAAATCTTCATCCGTCTCTCCAGGAAAGCCACAGATGATGTCCGTAGCAATTGTAATTCCGGGCACTCTACAAAACAGATGGAAAAAAAGCATGTTAAACTATAGTCTAGGGACTTCACATTCTACCAAGTATTCTAGAACAAATTTCCCAGAGGCCTAAGATTATCGTTACATTAACCCCTTCACCACCGGGAAGGGAGTAAAGAAAACTACCAATTTTTTTTAACTTCATTGCAGGAAAATTTTACAGAACATCTAAAACAGCAGGAGTCATAATATATGGAAACTGTGCATAGTTTTACATAAGTAGATATATAAATGAAGCAATAGTGGCATACGTTTATAAGGAGCAGACAATCAATTGGGAACAAGGTTTAGGTGTGCTACCTTTAGGAAGCCCATGCAATGCACCGATATGTCCCAAAAATGTGTTACCCCCTTGGCAATTTTCCTATTTTGTTGCATTACCACCTGGAATTAAAATTAATTTTTTTGGTGGTTTGTATTATTAGATTTACACTTTGAAGATGCAAAAATCCTTGTAGAGCCACCTTTTGCAGCAATAACAGCTGCAAGTCAATCAGGTGGTATGTCTCTATAGGCTGTGATTTTTGGCCATTATTCAATGCAAAACTACTCCAGCTCCATCAAGTTGGATGGCCTACGTTGGTGTACCACAATCTTTAAGTCATGTCACAGATTCACAGTTGGATTGAGGTCTGGGCTTTGACTAGGCCATTCAAAGACATTTATGTTTCCCCTTAAACCACTCGAGTGTTGCTTTAGCAGCATGGTTAGGGACGTTGTCTTGTTGGACGTGAACCTCCGTTAGTCTCAAATCTATGGCAGACTGAAACAGGTTTCCCCTCAAGAATTTCCTTGTATTTAGTGCCATTCATCATTCCTTCAATTCGGACCAGTTTGCCAGTCCCTGCCGATGAAAAACATCTCCACAGCATGATGCTGCCACACCATGCTTCACTGTGGGGATGGTGTTCTTGGCGTGATGAAAGGTCTTGGGTTTTGCTTGGAGGCCTATAAGCTCAATTTTAGTCTCATCTGACCAGAGTACATTCTTCAATATGTTTGGGGAGTCTCACACATGCCTTTTGGTGAACATCAAACAGGTTTGCTTATTTTTTCTGTAAGCATTGGCTTCTCTCTGGCCACTTTTCCATGAAGGCCAGCTCTGTGGAGTGCATGGCTTAAAGCGGTCCTATGGACAAATATTCCAATCTCCACTGTGGAGTTTCCCCCTTACAGTTATCTTTGGTCTCCGTGTTAACTCTCTAATTAATGCCTTCTTTATCTGGTCTGTAAGTTTTTGTGGGCGGCCCTCTCTTTGTGCCATAATCTTTCCATTTTTAAAAAATTGATTTAATGGTGCTCCGTGGGATGTTCAAACTTTCGGATATTTTTTTATAACTCAATTATGATCTGTACTTCTCCACAACTGTGTCCCTGAGCTGTTTGGAGAGATCCTTGGTCCTTTTAGAACGTGTGTGTACTGAGATCATGTGACACTTAGATTGCAGACAGGGTGGTCTTTATACAACTATGTGACTTCCGAAGGTTATTGGTTGCACCAGATCGTATGTAGGGGCTTTCTTAGCAAACAGGGTGAATACATATGCACGCACCACTTTCCTGTTTTTAATTTTTATAATTTTGTTTAAAACAAGTTTGTTTCTTAATTTCACCTCAACATTTTGGACTATCCTGTGTATGTCTATTACATGTAATTCAAATCAAAATCCATTTTAATTCCAGGTGGTGATGCAAAATAAATAGGAAAAATGCAAAGGGGGTGAATACTTTTGCAAGCCACTGGACTTGACTGTACACTGTATCGTTTACTCTGTAAAAATAAATGGAGATTATATTTTGTGTGCCTAATATTCTTTTTTGTGTGATTTTACTAAAAAAATATAGATTTGATAATCAGTTCAGGCAAATATTGTGCAACATGAAGAATTGCAATTGCCTCTCTTTATTCAACTGGGCCTCGTCTTTTGAAAATATATAATGTTTTAGGGGTTTTACGTGATTTTCCAGACGGTGACCAGTGGTAGTTAAAATAATGCCCTAGCATCGGTGGTTAGTGGAAATTAAAAACAAATGGTCAGTAGTACAAAGAATGCCTGAACATCAGTTGAAGTAAAAACAAATGCCCCTGAGTCGTAGTAAAAAAAAAAATTTAGGTGGTCAGTGGGAGTTAGAAAAAAAACAAAAAACAAAAAAAAAACTGTCGGTAGGAGGTGGAATAAGTGTCCCATCCTTGGTGTCAGTGAAATAAATAAGGCTCCATTATTAATGACGATGGGTGAAATAATGCCCTGTCACCGGTTTTAGTGGGTAAATTAATGCTCTATCATTGGTGTGAGTGTTAGAACAATGTGCCATTGTGTTAGAGGGATTAGGAGCACAGACATATTGTGTTTAGTATGAAGCTTACCATACACATTAGAATCTGAGTTTACAATTGTTGCATGACCTCTTTAGCTTTGCCAAATGTAATATAAAGACCTACTTAACGATCCAAACAATATATACCCAGTCAGGCAGGCTGAAAGGGGAAGGAATACAATGGGGCAAACTAGTTTTTTTTGAGTGCAGGTTCACTCAGACTTCCCTTTAAAATAATACACTTGGCTAAGGAACGTGCATGCTTCAAGAATTAACAGCATGTCATCAGATCATTACATAATTGGGTTCACAACATATTCTCATTGGTATTCTCACCGGTACTTAGTCAGGGCCCAGAGCAGGCACTCTGTACAGGAAGTGCAGGTGCTGTCTGCAGTCAGTAATGATTTTATATCTCTGGTCTTTTACTTGTGCTTGTAATTAACACTGCTGTCATGTCTTGCATTTAATGGCACCAAAAGATGAATTGCTGCTTTAATCTAGTTTCAATTTTTCTCTCGACTGTCTCAGTGTGAAATGGTTTATGTTTAAGGGACTCTTTTTTTTTAAGATTTCATATGATCTCTTTACAGATGTAATAGTTCCACCATATTAAAACAGAATGAAAAATGCCAAAGAAGCTTGTCCTGAATATATCAGAGGTATCACATGTAATCCTTTCAAGAACGTGATATAAAAATGTCAAGAAAAAATGCACAAGGAAGTTTTGACAAAACTCAAGAGTAATATGGAAGCAATGGAGCAGATTTGGAAGAAGCAAAGGGCAATCAGGTACAAGTCATTTGTTGGAATGGTAGCAATAATATATTGTAATTACACAAGACAATCAACAGTGTCATTGGCATTTGCTAGTGTTTGCTCCTTGTTACTTGATTGTTGCCCCTTTTCATTGTAAAGATGTTAGAAAACAAAAGGTTGTGATCCAACATATCAAACAACCCAGATGACAAATAAGGTAGAATGTTTCAAAAAAGATCCCTTTCTTTACCAAACAGATGGCAAAAATTAAACTTTGTTAGCCACAAAGTATATAACTCCAGAAACAGTATATCAGGAATTGAGTGGGAAGACCTAAATGGTTACCAGGGATAACAAACATTTAAAGAAACATTTAACATACTTTTTTCATACATAAGGTCAGTTATTTTAGCGCAACCGGAACTGCAGTCTTATAGCATACACCTTCATTGTTTTAAAATGATTGTAATTAGGATGAAAGTTTTCATAAACAAGAATCAATATGCTCTTGTGGCACTTTTTCATATATTACTTAAAGCCTTTCATTTTGAATTTGCTTTGGTATACGTATTCTTATAGTATTCATATAGAGAGACATTTTTTTTGGCAATTTCATTTTGATTATTTTTGAATGGTTATATATTGATATGTTACTGATATGTTACATCATTTCCATCACTTTTAAACAATGTTTGTACACAACAAAGTGATTCTATATTGGTTTTTATTATTATAATTCGGAATTTCAAAAATGAAAGTCCAGGTTTCCATTATACTTGTTAACTACCTTTTCTAACTGTAAGGGTGCATGGGATTTTAAGACTTGACCTATTTGGTTTCTACTTACTCAAAAAATGCTCGTCTTTTATATTTCGCACAAAAATTTGCATTATATTGTGTTTGTGTTGATACTTTCAGTGCATTTTTTTATTGAAAATATAGGTCTGATAAACATTTGTGTTAAAATTGTATGACATTAAAATGTGCAACGACAGTCCTGCTATTCTACAGGTTCTCGGCTTTTGGAAAACATACAATTTTGAGGGTTTCAAGAAGCTCTTTAGGTCAAAAATGAACACTTTAACATGTGCGTGAAAAAAAAAAATATTGGTCTGGCAGCAAATGGGGCTAAAGTGTATTTAACCACTTGATGACCGGCGGTGTTATACCCCCTCTTCCTGTCCAAGCCATTTTTCAGTATTCAGCGCTGCAGTATTTTGACTGACATTTATTTTGTCATACAGCGCTGTACGGAAATTAATTTTATACCATTTTTTGCAGACAGATAAAGCTTTCTTTTGGTGGTATTTAATCACCGCTGGGGTTTTTATTTTGTTATGGAAAAATGACTGTACATTTTGAAAAAAAAAACAAAATACCCAATTTTTTGTTAAAATATAAAAGACTGGGTCATGTCGGGTAAATAGACACCAACCATGCCAAGCCTTAAAATTGTGCGCGCCCGCAAAATGTCAAAATACGACAATACCCAAAATTGGCGACGCTTTACAAGCTTTTACCGCTCTTCAGTTTAGTATTATCAGTGATTCATGGCCCTAACATTATTGCTCTCACTCCAACGTTCGCGGCGATATGTAACATGTGTACCACAATTGTCGCTTTTGCGCGTTGGCTTACCCAACACGTATTTACATTTATTATATGCATATACGTGGGGGTGGGGGATTTTTATTTTTTTACATGTCTATTTAGTTTTTACAATAATTTAGTTTTTTTTTCACATGTCTTTATATGTGACTTTTATTTTTTCTTACTTTTTTTACACTTAATATTATTGCCATTACATAGGGGGATACCAATCCCCCTATGTGATAGCACAGGCACACTGACAGGTTCTCTTTATGAAGAAATTAGGGGTCTCTAAGACCCCTAATGTTCCCT